CCTTTCTACCTACAGGGGAGGGGGCTCTCTTTCCCTGTCCTTTGTGAGACCTCACCTGTATATGTTGTCCCTTTTCAGTTTCTGTCTTGGGAGGAGTAGACAGAGATACTGAGTAAAATAACACAAATTAAAGATGCAACACATTGAAAAGAACGGGAGCCGAAGTGGTTAAATACTCCTAAATGAAAGTGAGCATGAGGGGAGGTCAGTTTTTTTTTTCCTTCGCTTTCCTTAATCCTTAATTCTTTATATCTACTGTTATTGATATGGAATTATTTGGGAATAAACCAAAATTGGAACTGCCTCTTGAATAGGAAGCTGCGGCTTGCTCACTTGCACACCCCACGCTCATGCTCCCCAAAATAACACGAGGGGCTCTTCTAGCCCCATGAGGATTACTCTCCACTCCTGACCGGGGCTGTCCTAATGTTTGAAATGTGCTAGGCAGCATGGCAGGTTCTATTTCCTGTCTCTCTTAAATCCTCTTGTGCCGAGCACCCAGCTTCCTCTGTGCTTTCCCCAGGCTCCGGGTTTCCTGGTTTCTGGGTCCTCTTCCCTCTTTGTCCTCCAAGCTTCCTCCCAGGCAGATGGAGCCCTCAAAGGGAAAAATAGATATTCCCAAGTTGTAAACTCTGCCATTAGTAGTGTTCAGTTAAAACCAAAAAGACGGAAAATGCCTTACTGTGTTTTATAATAATTTGACTGTTTCTCTTCTTCCTTTCCTAAATGTTTACTAGGAAGGGACATAGGGAGAGACCTATACCCCTTCTGTACTCACACCTAAGATGTGATGTTATTCACCTTATGAAATATCTCTCCAGCCTGGAAATTGTCTTAAGAGAAATGCATCAAGAGGGAAGGAGCATTAAACTGAGTTTTAGGCATGAACATGGCTTCTCTTTATCCCTGCCTCAGTTTCTCTGTTATCCAGTTCTTTAGCTAGAAAAGCTGTGTGGCTGAAAATAGGACTAGGCTACAAGGTCCTCTAGGGAAGAGACTGTCTCTTTTCACTACCTCAGTAAAAACCACGAACAATGAAGGAAGCAAAAAACCCTCCTGAATAGAAAGGAAATAGTCTATATAAAAATATGTACTTTTACAGCAACAAAATAAGGTAGTTGACTTCATAAGCTTTATTACCTGGGTCCCTTAGAAAGCCTTCAGTTCTTTCCTAAGTTATCGCCAGAGGAATTTACAAAATTTGAAGGATTTAGAATGTTCAAGGCAGTAAGATCAGAATGGGAATGGGGTGGTAGAAGTAGACCATTTACCACAGAGACAAGTAACAGGCTAGAGACTTAGCAGTCAGGGGACATTTAAAGTAGGGACCATTTAGCCTGAAGCCTTTGCCATAACTGAGCAGGGAAGAGTGGGGGTCCGAGAGCCATGGCCCAGAAAGGCAGGGCATCGAGAGGACCACCTGAGTCCACAGCAGCCCCCTAAGGACACTAGAATGTAGTGCAGTGTAATAATCTGTATGCATAGGAGTAAGGTAAGTAATACTTATTTTTTTTTTACTAAAATAAATAAGCATTTAAAAAAGCATATTTCCACTTAAAATGATTAAAAATGTAAATATTTTGGTATATCAGTGACTTCATCTTTTTATTTCCAAATGTGTCATTTCTTGAAAACGTGAAGTAAAGGTTACTGACTGACTAGCTAGGCCAATAAAGGAGTGATAATATGGGCCCTTACCCATCTTACTGACATATATGAAGCATACAAAGCTATGAAAATGATGACTGGTGTATAAATAAAAGGCAGTATTTATTTAGTTCAGCCCAAGTTGATAGTCTGAGAATTAATATCTTTAAACCCTTCTGAGGGGTGCCTGGGTGGCTCAGTCGGTTAAGCATCCAACTCTATCTTGGCTCAGGTCATGATCTCTTGGTTCATGAGATTGAGCCCTGCATCAGGCTCTGCATTGACAGCATGGAGCCTGCTTGGGATGTCCTTTCTCCCTCTCCCCGACTAATGCTCACTCTTTCTCTCTCAAATTAAATAAATAAACATTAAAAAAAAAAAAAACAACCTTTTGAGTACTTAATACTTTGCATTTTGCATCTGTCTCATAAAATTCAGCATTTTGTAAACCTTGGCCTTAAAGAAACAGTGTTTTGGTTTTGTTATTTGGTTCTTTTTGCAAAGTTTTTTAAATTACGCTTTTTAGTGAAGGATAATGAAGTCACATCACATTGAAATAACCTGCATCCGGGTCCAGACATAGAACATTACCAGAAAGAACCCCAGAAGCTCCTGGTGCTTTGTCTAGTCACTGTCCCTCCTCCCCTCTACCCCACAGCCCAAGGGTGACCACTGTCCTGACGTCTAATAACATAGCTTAGTATGAAGAAAGGATGTTAACATCTAAGCTACAAAGTTTTGGAGAGTCCTTTAATGAGCTTACTAGGAAAGAAGAACATGAATATGTACTGTTGCTCTTTATGTGACGTGTCTCTCTTTCTGAAGTACTTCAGGAGGAGCATGCTTGGTTTAGAGCAAAGTGGAAAGTGTGAGTGTGGATCTGTATATACTCAGATCTGTGTTTGTGGAAAAGATGGAAGCCCTGTTCTGTACATTTCTCTATTTTGATAAAAGACAAAATTGTGTGGGATCACTCTGTTTTCTGCCTGTGTCTTTGACTTCAGAGGAATTACCACCTTTCTCTGTAGACTGAAGGCTGGTCCACCTTTGGTATTCTGCCATCTTTGTTTCTTATTATTAATCAGCATGATTTATTCCTAAGACCTTGGTAAGGTATGAAAAATGAATTGTTTTCCTTGCTTTACACATTTGTATTTATATTTCACTTTGGGGGCTTAGATTTAACTATTCATGGGATACTTAAAAGTTAGCTTTTCTTCTGTATAGAAGAGAATGATTAATAAAAGGTGACTTAGATGGAATTTTCCAAAACATGGCCTTTATACTATAAATCTTTGCCTATTGTAGTGTTCTTTGCATTCTGAAGATCTTATGATTTCAATTAAATATTTATCTTTTCTTGTTTATAAATTGAATTGATTCTTAAGCATTTGTATTTAGAGAAAAGAACATACATACTTGAATGCCTTTAAACCTGTGGAAGTTGCCAGATTAGGGGCCCTCTGAATAGGAAAATTTGTCCATTCAGCAGTTGTCTTGGTACTTTGTAAACTAGGTGCTCTTAGATTTGACTGAGGTTCTAGCTTTAAGATTGATAAAGCCATATGAGGGGCTCCTGGGTGGCTCTGTCAGTTAAGCATCTGACTCTTGATTTCTGCTCAAATCATGATCTCATGGTTCGTGGGATCGAGCCCTGCATCAAGCTCTGTGCTGATCGTATGAGACCTACTTGGTTTTCTCTTTCTCACTCTCTCTGTGTGTCTCCCTCTCTCTCTCTCTCTCTCTATCTCTATCTCTCTTTCTCTCTCTGTCTCTCTCCCTCCCTCCCCCCACCCTGTCTCTGCCTCTCCACAGCACATGCACTCTCAAATAAATAAACATTAAAAAAAAAGACTATGAAGCCATGAGACTTGATCCCCAGCTGGGATTACCAATTAGGAGTTCATCTGGTATAATTTTACTAGATTCCTTTTTATGTGTTATATACTCTGGCTATTTTTTTAAAATTTGAGGTAACATACGCATAACAGAATTTGCAATTTTAACCACTTTTAAGTGTACAGTTATTTGGTTTCTAGAACTTTTTACTCATTAATATTAGTTCTAGTAAACAAATACTTAGTGGCCATCAGCTAAGTGCCTTGTGCTGAGGTTAGATCATTGGAAAATTATGAAAGGAGTATAAATATGGTCCCTGTTCTCAAGGAAATTAAGCTTCATTAGGGAAACAAGTTATATGTATTCATGGTCAGTAAGGCCTTGAATGTTCAAGGAAAGCTTTGTGTAAAGGTGAGAATCAGCTTGGTCCTTCATCAGGAGTAGGGTCTGTCTAGTTTGAGAGGAAGGGGGAAGTGGCAACTAAAACAGCCTACCAGCTGTTTGAGTGTTCAGTCCATTGTCTTTCACACAGTCGTTGCTTTTTTACAGCTTTGAAGCACACTGTTTTGTTTTTAAATTAAGCTGAATATTCTGATAAGGGAATACATTATTAGCAAGAAATTAATATTTTTTTCTTACAAATAGTTTATTGTCAAGTTGGTTTCCATATAACACCTAGTGCTCATCCCCACAAGTGCCCTCCTCCATGCGCATCTCCCCCCTCTCCCCCACATCCATCAGTCCTCAGTTTGCTTCTCAGCATTCAAGAGTCTTTCATGGTTTGCGTTTCTCCCTTTCCCCCACCATTTCCCCCCTTCTTCTCCCCCATGGTCCTCAGTTAAGTTCCTCCTAATCCTCCTATACGTGCAAACATAGGATATTTGTCCTTCTCTGCCTGACTTATTTCGCTCAGCATAACCCCCTCAAGGTCCATCCATGTTGCTACACATGGCCAGATTTCATTGTTTCTCATTGCCATGTAGTATTCCACGGTATAGATAAACCACATCTTGCAAGAAATTAATATTTTAAAAAATCACAGAAATCAAACTTAACCTATGATACAGACACTTAAAAATCCAGAATCATAGTGATAGAAGGGTTAAAATTCCTATTAAAATTCTATACAAATATCTGTGTTCATGCAGCATTAAACTTTTCAATATATTACCACTTGGGAGTAGGTATTTCATTAGTGAGTTTAGAACAATTGCAGTTATAGTTTTTATGAAAAATAATTGTACAAAAATCAGCATGTAATGAAACACATTTATTGAAATTAATCTTGAGTGTCTGCTATTCTGAAATTAGGTAAAAAGTTTAGAATGGGTATATATTGTGCATAAAGAATGAGTTATGATTAATCCTGAATAATCTTGTACTTGACAGTTGATGACAAAGGATGGTGCCTGTCTTGTTGGTGTAAGTCTATAATGAGTCAAGGATCTTATCTGGGCTGAACATCATGTCTTAAAAGAACAAAGTGAAAACATTTTCGTTTCTCCTGTCTGCAGACAGGCAAACATACACTTGGGACCTCCATGTTCATGTGACATCAAGAGGAAACGGAAACCTGTGGCCACAGCATCTCTGTCTAGCCCAAATGCAGGTAATTGTATGTAGTTACCATTTCTTAGCACCTGTTGTGTGTCATGCACTAAATTATGTTTTATATACCTTTTCGTCTAATCTTTATAATAAAGTAAGTCATTTTATTCCCATTTTATATGGAAAAATGAGAATTTGCCCAAGGTCATATACATTGTCAGAATTCAAACCCAGTCCTCTCTCACCTGGAAGTCTGTGCTTTTTCACTGTGTCATGTGGCTTTTTTGAGTTTGAATTCTAGTATTCCACTGAATCAGCAGTCTTTAGTCATCTATGCTTTTGTTCTAGCACAGACAAGAGAGTTAGGTCTGTGTTAATGACAATCCAGACAGGATGGCGGTTTAGTCAGTAGTCAGGGAGCCACACGGATTTATTTACTTTCTTATTTGGTACACAGTACAATGCATTCTCACTGTTTTTATTTGTCGTAGAGTACTAATACTTTCTTAGTCATGGAATTTCTATTTAAAAACACTTTTTAGGGGTACCTGGGTAGGTCAGTCAGTTGAGCATTCAACTCTTGATTTCAGCTCAGGTCATGATCTCATGGTTGTGGAATTGAGCTCCATGTCCAGTGCAGAGCCTGCTGGGATTCTCTCTCTCCCTCTGCCTCTCTCCCCTACTCGTGTGCTCTCTCCCTCTCTAGAAAAACAATCTTTCTTTTTTTTTTTTTTTTTTATTTATTTCTAGGAGAGGGAGAGAGAGACAGCGTGAGCAGGGGAGGGTCAGAGAGAGAGGGAGTCACAGACTGAAACAGGCTGCAGGAGCTGGCAGTCAGCACAGAGCCCGACGCGGGGCTCGAACCCACGAACCGCGAGATCATGACCCAAGTGAAAGTCGGACGCCCAACCGACTAAGCCACCGAGGCGCCCCTAGAAAAACAATCTTTCAAGTTAAAACCTTTTAGTTTTCAGAGCAAAACCAGTTGATTGGAAACCGAAATAGTGGTTATGTTTGGTGAACAGTAGTGACCAGGAGAGGACATAAAGAAGTCTAGGAAATGCTGTATGTCAACCACTAGGCAGGGATTATGAGAATGTATACATATGTAAAAATCCATTGGGTTGTACATTTATGATTTATGCACTTTACATGTGTTATCCTTAAAAGGGGAGGATAGTTATTATTTATATCAGAAAGTATATTGGACGTTTGTAGATATTTTTCTTTGGAGTTCAGAGAAAATAAACATAATTGGTAATCAGGACATTTTTATGTTATTTCAATACAGTTTAGGATGAATTGCTCTGGTTAAAAAGATCATATCTATTTGTAGGATCTATCAGAAATACCTGCAGTTATTTTCTTGACGATGGTGAATTCACCCTGAGGGAGTTGAGTATATCATAGATTATTTTATTTTCTTCAGAAAATACTATATATTATATATATAGATCAAAGCAGTTGATAGCTGAATAAAGAGTAGGCCTCAGACAGAGGGGGAACTTTCTCTCCCTCCCTGAATTTAGTAAGTTTCAGTGTACATTGAAATTGACCTCTTTTAGCTTCTGTTTGGGGTAGCTGCTTGGTAATGGTTCTTATTGGACAATCTTAATCACAGGTCTGGTAATTATAATAATTTTTTCCAGTGATTCCTATATGGCCATGCCCTGAGCTGATTACTTTGCATGCATTATTTCATTTAATCTTTGCAACAGCTTATAAGGTAGATGCTATTTTTATTCCCAATTTACACATGAGCAAATTGAGGCTTACAGAGGTTAAATCCCTTCCCCAAGGTCACATGAGTGATAAATTTCAGAGCCAAGTTCAAACCGGTTTCCCTAGGACTCTCGAGCTGCCCTCTTAGGCACTTCAGGTGTTCTGTGTTATATAAGGTAGAATCGGTTCCAAACTGTATCGAAACCCAGATCCTCATTCACTCTGTGGTATTGAAAGCATTAAAACACAGTCTCCTGTTCTTATCTTTTTTTTCTCCTTAATGTCTAGCTTCTGTTTTTAGTTTTTCATTGTTCATAAGACTAGAACTGTTGAGAACAGTTAAAATCCTTGTTCCATACTCAAATCAGGAAATGTACTGGGAGGCATTAAACAAGACTTGGGCATTAAACATTTCTCCTACTGAGCTCAACCCCTCCTCTCACTTGTTGACTAAGGTCTGCTTCACTGAACATTTTCTTTTTTTCTATCCGCAACCCGAGTGCCCCATGGAGGTGAAGGACATAGCCCGAGCCCGCACCATCAGTCAGTAGAACAAATGGGCTTGCTCTGCCTAACATCGGGCCATCTCGGATTCCACCTCTTTTATAGAAATGAGTGATGAAGAGAGGTGCGTTCCGCTTTGCCGCTGTATTAATACACATCAGGGGCCAGCTCCTGGCACTAAATCACGCTACTGCATACATCTGTTATCGGACTCTTCACCAGTGTGATGAACAAGACTGCAGATAGAGGCTTCCTTGTGTCATTCTTTATAGGATTTTCCTAAAAGAATAAATAGCTCAGATCTCTGCCAACACTCTCCCCTGTCACTGTGATGAATTCAGCTTCTTTCTTAAACATGCAGCCACAAATCTTTTCCCGTTTCCCCTCCCCCACTGGTGGAAAGTTTTGAGTTGAGATTGACTGAATTTAAAGGTATTAATAAGGCTAGAGAGGTGAAGAGCAGAAGGGAGTAGCTTGTCTGGTCTTTTTATATTAATACTAAGGAAAGGCCAAGGAAAAGGGCCTTTTCAGTAGGTCATTAAGTAGATCTTGAAAGTGTAGCGCCTTTATTTTCTTCTTTTTATCTCTACTCCCCTTCCCTTTATGACTTTATAACCTACACAGGTGTTTGGTACACACCTCTATCTGCAGGTAAAGGAGAGTTGGGGAGTGGTCTGATACCATATTCAGAGCTCTGTCTATGGTCAGAGCCTCTTCTGACCTGCCTGTCTCTGGGATAGGATGTGTCCTTAGAGCATCAGTGGGAAGGATACTCAGCAATTAATGTGTTAACTACTTACATCAGATTCCACATACCAGGTCATTGACACCGGAGATGCATTTGCAAGGGCAGGAATTTTTATCTCTTTTGCTCACTTCTGTACCCCTAGTATCTAAAATAATAGCACAGAGAATGATCTCACTAGATATTTCCTGTATGAATAAGTGAGTAGAATCTTAAAGTTGAAACAAAGTTATTCTGAAAATTATTCTACCCTTGTGACTGGATTCAGTAGTTCATTGTAAGTTGGCCTTTTCCCAGGAGTCATAGGGCTGATTCTTAGTGCCCCTTTTTATTTTTTTTCTTATTGCCCCTTTTTAAGGTTTAAATAGTTTTTAAAGTTAAAAATGTGTTTTAGTAAATATTGAATGGCTATAGAAGAAGAATTATAGAAGATCTATAAGGTGTAAAGAAAAACAACATAGCAAATATCCACATACCTACCATCCACTTTAAGAAAAACATCACCTTTCAAGTCTTTTTCTCACTGTCCTCAGAGGTCACCTTTGTCCTGATATGTTTTTTGTTATGTTAGTATGGGTTTTTTTAATCATTTATCATTCTTTGGGGTTTGTTTTCAAATTGCTTTAACAGACATATGACTCTCTAAAGCAATAACTTGTCTAGTTAGCATGTTTTGGAAACTTGTGTTAATGAAATATCCTATTTTATATGTTACAAGTTTCACCTAGTTATATTAGAGATTCACTGATGTTTTGTCCTGCCCAAATCCTTTCTTTTTCCTGCCGTATGTAGGATATTCTGTTGTACGAATATGATGATTATATTACAGTTAAACATTGCTAATGGACATTTGGATTATATCCCATTATATGCTATTATGAAAAATACTGTGTTCTCTGGGAGAAGAACGTTGTGCAAAAGTGTTTCTGGGCCACTTCCCACTCCTTAGGATGGCTGTGTCAGGGAACAGGGAACAACATGTTGGGAAAGATGTAGAAAAATTGGAATTTTTGTGTATTAATGGTGGGCATGTAAAATAGTGCAGCCACTGTGGAACACGGTGGCGATTCCTCAGAGTTCCAGACATAAAACTGGCATATGATCCAGCACTTCTGCTTCTAAGTGTAAACCCAAAGGAACTGAATGTATGGATTCAGATACTTGTATACCCATGTTCATAGCAGCGTTATGCACAATAGCCAAAAAGTGTAAACAACCCAAATTGATAAATGTATAAATTGATAAACAACATGTGGTATATACATACAGTGGAATATTATTTGGCGTTGGAAAGAAAAGAAATTCTGAGATGCTACAGCATGGATGAAGACATAATGCTAGGAGCGCATGGGCGGCTCAGTCGGTTAAGTGTCTGACTTTGGATCAGATCATGATCTCATGGTTTGTGAGTTTAAGCCCCGTACTGAGCTCTGTGCTGACAGCTCAGAGCCTGGAGCCTGCTTCAGATTCTGTGTCTCCCTCTCTCTCTGCCCCACCCCCATTCACACACACTCTCTCTCTTTGTCTCTCTTTCTGTCTCTCTCAAAAATAAACATTAAAAACAAGAAATAATCCTAAGTGAAATAAGTCAGACACAAAAGGAGAAATACTGTATGATTTTAGTTACATGAAGTACCCAGAATGGTCAAATACGTAGAAACAGAAAGTAGGATAATGGTTGCCAAGGTCTGGGGAGAGAGAATAGGAGTTACTATTTAATAGCATAGCCTTTGCATTTGGGATAGTGAGGAAGTCCTGGCAATGGATGGTGGTGATGGTGCTGTAGCATTGTAAATGTACTTAATGCCACTGAACTGTACCCTTAAAACTTGTTAACATGGTAAGTTTTATGTTATGTGTATTTTGCCATAATAAAAAATATACAGCAAAAAACCCCAGTTTTCCTAGGATAAGAGGTTTTTTCCCCACTTGGTTGAATACCATATAGTAATGTTAGATAAAGTTTTGTGAAATTTATTTTCAGCTAAATATGAGTAAGTGAGCGTGTTTTGTGTGTGTGTGTGTGTGTGTGTGTGTGTGTGTGTGTGTGTGTATGTAAGAGAGGAGAGACAGAGATTTGGGTTGTGGTGTCAAACGTATTTCTTACTACTATGGTTGAGGTTCCAAAATGTTTGAAAGCTGCTACCCTCAAGAAACTCTTGTTTCAGGGCCATAGAATAGTAGCCTGCAGATTTTTTTGTTTTGTTTTGTAAAAACTCACAGTGAGAAGTTCATGTTTGAATATGTAGGTTGGTATACATGTAAATCTGAAATAAATTCTTGGGGTCACTCTGATATATATTACTCCTTTTTATTAAGAAAAAAAAAATACTGGTCTCAGTCTACTAAAGTGATTTGGTGACCCACAATTTGAAAATTACAGTTCTAGTTACATTCCTAGGAGTGGAATTATTGAGTGACAAGGCAAAACAAAAACTTTCTAGGTTTTGCTGTATTTTAGTGTATATCCATTTGCTCTGAACAGAGTGGGCGTGATGATGGTTTGTACCACTCTGCTTGGGCATTTGGAAATGTGAGGACAGTGTTTGGTCATCACAGCAACTGAGGAGTGCTTTTGACACTCAGTGGGTGGGGTGCAGGACGGTAAGTGCCCTAAAGTATACAGGGCAGCCCTGCACAAGCAGTGACTCTCGTGTCCAGAATGTCTTTGGTGTCCTTGTTGAAACACACTGGGCCTGACACTGCGGCTTTTCCACCATTTTTCTTTTTGTTCGCTAGTTATTGGTAACACTGTGTTATTGGCAACACTGTGTTATTGGCGGCATGGACTGTAACAGAAAGAGCCTAGGGCTTGAAGTCCAAAATCAGAGTTTGAATCTTGCTACTTAAATGATGTATCTGCTGTCTCTCTGCCTCCGTTTTTTGATCCAGAAAATGGAGATGACAATACCTACTTCCAAGGGTTTGCCTTAGGAAATAAGATTATGGTTGTACAGTATTTACTAGCTCGTAAGTGCTCCGTAAGTGCTATTGATGTCCCAACATTATGGTTGTACCGTATTTATAAGCTCGTAAGTGCTCAATAAATGATAATGACTACATTATGAATTTGTACTGCTGTATTTATTTGTTCAGTTAAACCCATTTTCTCAGGTAGAGAAATCTTAAATCTTGCCTTTATTATTATTATTATTTTTTTTTTTGGAAAGGAAAAAGAGAAACCTTATGTGGCCCCTTGGGTTAATAGATTATAAAATAAAAGGATTCAGAAATTTTGCATTGAAGTGTCTTTGATTCTAATTTGTCTCCCCTTGATCTTTTCTTCCTTATTTTCATTGTAAACACCTTACCAGTTCACGTGGATGTAGTGGAGCCAACCACGCCAGCCTCACAGGTCCAGAAATCTCCAAACCCTGAGTGGTTGGTCAGGACCTCTACCGCAGAGAAAGCCACTGACCCCGCTGCAGCTACGTTTTTTAAAATGCCACCAGAAAAGAGCCCTGGATACAGCTAGAGAGTGGGAGCATACCCACCGGGAGCCGCTGGGTGTCGCGCAGTGCATCCTAGAGGCCGTGTCGCAGAGCCTTGCGTCTTGCAATTGACATTCCCAGCCTTTTTACCACCAGGATGACCCCTCTTCAGACAAAGCAGTGGACTCTTTCTCTTAGAAAATCATGTCGTGCAAATCTGGTTTTAAGAAAAAAGATTAGTAAAGTAGTGCAGCAGCAGTTTAAAAAAAAAAAAGGGTCATCCTCTGCTATTTGTTACATTGCTGTTGTTGTCCCAACAGTTACCTGCAGCCCCGTTTACAGAGCTCTTGCTTTTTGCAGGTATGTCTCTTTTCTTGAGAAACTAGTAACTGCTTTTGCATACTTTTTGTTTAGAGCTTTTAATACCGTTTGAGGAAGTCCCAAATTGGTAACCAGTTCTAGACAGATTGAAACACTGAGTTAAGACCGGCATGTGGAATTGTATTTGCCAAGACCGGGTTTGCCTTTGAGCTTGGTCTTGAGTTCACTGATCGTGCCAGTAAGCTAATTCCATCAAGTTCTCATTTTGGAGCCTCAGACAAGAGACACCAGCGGCCTGGACAGTGGGAACTTCTTCCAGTTTTCTAAATGGCCTAATAGGACCTCCAGCAGCTGCATTGTACTTGGCCTTATTTCCAGAGTTGGTGTTCTCCTGCAAGAGGATATCTATACCCATGATGTGATGAAGAAAATGGTTTAGTTGTTCAGCAGACTTAAAATAGTCAGTGGATTGTGTCTTAATACTTCATGTCACAGTGTAAGCTTTTATGTACTAAATGGGAATTTTATTGTTAGTTTATAGGTCAATAACCTGCAGCAGAAATTCACACTCTATTATAATAATGGCTTCTTGGGGCCGTACTTTGGGGAGAAAAATGTCTTTTTGACACGACTTTATACTTGGCGTGTTTATGACGGCTCAGCTGCATGTGGAGTTATGTATACAGCCATGCCTGGGGTTGGATGCCGCTTTGTCAGAATGAGGGATAAGGGACTGCCTGGAGCTGCTAGGGAAAAGCTACCCTTTCTAAAAAAGTATTATCAAGAGTGTCTGTCATTTAGAGGCCTGGTTGACAGAAGGGTTCTTTCCTTGTACGAACTGAGTACATTTTCTCTGAAATGCATAGGAACTGTTCTCAGTGTGCCCACCGCTCTGGTAACATTCCAGAGGCCAGCCCTGCACCTGGATTTTTCGGCGCTTGAATAGGTGCTGAGTGTCAGGACAGAGCTTCCTTCTTCTGAAACGCAGTTGTCCCTTTTGCTCACACAGAATGTGAGGGTGGGATGCTCTATCATGTTCCCTTTAAAAACTGTAGTCTTTATCAGTGCCAAGTCCAGGACCTTCTTGTTGATGGGTGGGTGTGAATCTAGCTGGAAAGGAGGACTGGAAGGTAATTTACATAGCACTTTCTGTAAGACGGAAACAACAGGTCAGCTGTCTGTAACGAGGAGATTATGGGTGAGCGAGAGGCATTAAAGCCAACGCAGCATCTCTGGGGGCCTCCCCTGGGTCTCATGTAGTCGTGAGTGTACCTCCCTTCCCTTGGGGCTGCAGCTGTGGCAATATAGGAAATAAAGTGCCTGTCGAATATGAAATGGCACCACCGAATTGTTGTAGTGATGAAGGTAGGTTGGATTATCCCGTGTGCATTCTTACCTAGTCCCCATTGTGTCCTGAGACAAATCTCTAATGTAATTTGTTGGATTTAAGGGAGAAATCCATGGACATAATTTTCTTTTCTTTGCACTAAGCTCTGGCTCTTGTAGAGATGGGTGCTATGATCATAGCCTGTTCAGACCTCCACAATGCAGGTGGCATTGTGGCCTAGCAGTTCTCCTTTCTCCCTGTGATTACACATAATTTACATAGACAACTGTATTTACATTGTAAACATCTCTAGGATGTAAGGGCAGGTGACTGCTGCCATTTTTCAAACCAGAATGGTAACAGTTTAGCAACTTGCCCAGATATCACATAAGCCAAGACTAAAATCCCCAATTTTCAGACTTCCTCTGCCCTGGGCTATAATCTTTTTTTCATAGACCTGAGTCCCTCTGAGAGCCATAATTTTGAAACCGTGTGTCATGGATGTTTATCATTGTTCTTGGGCACGCTTTTCTACATATTTTGAATACATTCAGTGGGAATTACCCCCAAATGCCATATCTACCTGTACGAAGTGGGGAAGAAAATTAATTGCCTAACAAATAGCCATGAATACTTAGCAACACAGGGTTGTAAATTGTGCTCCTCATTTTAAGCTGCTGCATAAGCATGCTTACCAGAATGATTAACCCACTTTCTTTGCTTGTTCTCTGTATGAATCAATTCCAGAGGAGTAACCTTAGAATGGAGTGTTTTTTGAATCTTAAATTTTACATTTCTTGTTTATATGGCAAAGTGTATGATGCCATACACTGAGAAAAGTCTGTTACCTTTCAACAAAGGATGTAATTTCAAGAGCAGGTTTTGTAGTCTGTTGAAAATACTCTCCTAGCATCACTTCCTTTGAGGGTAGTGATTGAGCTCACATGCATTTGATCTGCTCAAAACTAGTAACTGAAGCCGAGTCCCATACTTCTTCCTTATTTCAGGATTCTGATTTTCCTAGCTGGCTACACAGCCTGCCTGTCTGAATCCTAAGCTTCAATATTTTGCACAGTGGGTACAAGTCAAGACATTACCCACTTGCATGAACACCGTTCATAAAAATTAGTTTTGCTTATGAATTTAAAGGGATTTGAGATTTTTTTCATTTTAAGGGAACAAGTTCATTTGCATTACCTCCTGTGTTACTTTTTGGTAAGAACTGTGCAGAAGGAATTAGCTGTTTACATGGTGCCAAATTTAGGAGGGGCAGCGTGTGATCTTTATTGAGTGGTGTGTGCTTGATAAATAGGCACATTTAACCTTGAATTCTTTTGAAATCAAAGGCAGTTGAAAATACCAGACAGCATTGTTTTGCTGGGCTGTGGAACAGGCTGCAAACAAGGCCATTTTGGCAGCAAAGTGACCAAAAGCTGAAATAAAACTTCTTAGTCTGTGATGCTTATGGCATCCTTTGCTAAGTCCAGCTGCACACCGAGGACAGGTATTGAAACTACTTAGGAATCCCACCTAGATGGCTCTGATCTGTCCTTATATTGTGGAGTCAGAGACAGCCCAGACCACAGCATGGGAGGTTCTGGAGCTGCAGAGGAGCAGAGCCACCACAGAGGTCACTTAGAGTGTCAGGAGGAAAGCGCTAGGTGGCAGTGTCCTTGCTGATGTGATGGCTTCTCCACTTTGGCTCCAAGGTTCCTGATGATGTTTGATTCACTTCTGGTCTTCTATTTTGACTTCGTTTTTGTGGTCAGAGCCACATGCATTTTGTTTCCCGAGGTGAAGACTATGTAAAAATCTCAGCATTACAGGCCGTGTTCAGTGGTCTGAAGTCTAGTGAAATTTAGCTGAGCTGGGGTGAGAACAGACTGGCTTACTCTAGCAGCTGTGGATGCAGTCTAGCTGGGGGTGGGGTTTACAGGGTGTATCAGGATTCACGTGGTGGCCGGAGGGATGGTGAAAGATGCAGTTTGCTCTTGGTGTCAGCTGTTTCCTTTGTTAATACTTGAGCCATCTTACTTGTCAGTATTTGGCGCTCATCTCCCGCGCCAGCCATGCCAGCTAGTGGAGTTACTGATGGTGGTGGCAGTCAGGATGGGCTCCTATCCCATCAAGAAACAGTACAGAGGTAGTTGGTGGGTTCTGTCAATGCACTAAACTCAAGGTGGCCCAGAGATGCTTTCACCTACATTAAGATCCCAAAAGAGATGAATGTCAAATGCCTGGAAAAGCAACATAGGATAGAAACCAGCAAAATGAGTGATATTGCTGAAGCGTATAGATTTGTAAGGTTTTTAACAAGCCCAGCAAAACAAACTTAGCCACTGCAAATAGACATGATAAGCAGATGGGAAAATTGCCGAGGTTTTGGAATATAAACTTTTCAAGCTCAGTATTGAAGAATGAGGCAGATCCTGAAGATGTTCGCAGGGGAAAGCAATCTTGGGAAGGCTCAGAAGAAGGCGTGACGAAGAGAAGGGGACATGCTTCGAACAGAGGTGCTAGGGCCTCTAGACCGACAGCAGCAGGACGATCCTGTCCCGACCACACCTACTGGATCATAAATGGAGGGTCTGGGGCAGTCTTACAAGCCCTCCAGGGGACTCTGGGGTAGGCTACATTTGCTTGCAAACCACAGGCTTTGCATACTTAAATGTTTTAAGATGTTGGTGTCCCCCTATGCTCTAAGGTGCACTTACATTTCGCTCTATAAGTATAGACGTGTTTTATATATGATTCTTTGCAGAAATTGTTAATGTCTTTATTTCCCATACTTTTCCCCTGAAGCTCCTAAAAAATCTCCTGGAAATATTGGGAAAGGATGATGTGGAGAAAAATGTCATCAAGGCCATATTTAGGTGGATGGAAACAACTTTTAACGTGGGTTAAATAACTGAATTTTTAGTCCGTGTATGATAGTCATTTTTTACAACAGACCGTAAAACATTTGTGTAAGATACTGCCATCTATGATTTCATAATATTTGCTCATTACATCTGGGAGAATGTTGTGTATTTTCCAGCATAATCATGATGAAGTCGTTAAAATATGGCTCACAAAAATGAAAATTGGAGGAAAAAAAGCACCCTGAGTACCTAGTGTTGTGTAATAAATACTTGAGTAATTGGTGGTCTTTTGCTAGAACTTAATCACACCCTCTTGTCTTTGTTTTATGTTTCAGCGATGCTACAGGGGTTGGTGACCAGCAGCAACAGCATGTTCTGTATTTTTTTGTTGTCTGACTCATGGATTCAGCATTTCAGAATATGGTACCTTAATTCTAAAGCTTTGAAATGAAATCATGACCATTTTTTTCTTTAGGTTTTATTTGTATGAATTAGTTCCCTGGTGTCATTTCCTCAGGTACCCATGTCGTTCTGTGCCCAGGTGTGATTTTATAAAGGTGATTAAGGGAGGACACGGAGAGGTCTGTGCCACTGAAAGAAAAGTTGAATCTTAAGTTCCCCTAGAAACGAGGCAGGGCTTGCCATGCAGGCCCACAGGTCGAAAGCCAGGTTTGGGTCAAGAGGCAGAAGACAGGAGCAAGCACTAGGTTTAGGCCAGAGCTTTTGTTGGGGTTTCCTCTATGAAGACAAGGCAGGGCAGTGTGAACAGTTTGGAAGTGGCTAGTTTGAATAATTCTGGGGCCTTTGGACTATAGTGTAGTCTCTGGTTGCCTGGTACCTGGCCCTTGGGGTGACTGCTTCCTGGAGTGGAATTGGCCAGATGGAGGGGGTAGGGCTCCTTCAGACCTGGTTAGTTTGCACATCAAAAGTGTGCTGCTGGCAGAGTCCTTTGCTGTCTCTCTGAGAATCAGCTAGCCCTGGGAGAGACAGTGTTTCCCTAGCCAGAAAGGGGTTTTAATCTGTTAAAACATTGTAATCTACAGAAAATAAAAAACAGGATTAACACATGTTTAAGCTGTTAAGTTCTCCTTTCAGTTTAAAACACCATATAATTTTCCTTTTCCATCTTGAAAGCCAGTTAAAAATACCTCTGACCAAAATGTTAGTGTTACTACATACTATCAAGGTATGGGAATATAAAAAGATTTTTAAGATGTAGATTATGAAAATTAATGTTTTCTTTCTCTAGAAGTGAGTTCTGACCCTTGAAGATCCCTCATTCAAATGTTTTTAATTGAAAAAGAGAAAACATCAGAGAACTTACAGACGGCCGTGGTGGCTTTGACTTAAATCAACCTCTTTCAGTGTGTGCAGACCCTGCCTCTTGCCCCTCCCAGCGGGCCATGTATCTCTCCATGAACAGTTGCCATGATTTTGCAGACTCCCAAAACCATGGCGACGCTTCGAATTGCTCTCAGTATTCATCCCACTCCTCTTGTCAGTAGCTATTGCAAACCAAGGCCGTTTCAAACTCTTCTTACCCCCACCTTCTTTCCAGTTCAGCAGCTAATCTCCCCCATCCCGTAGCAGGTAACAGACCATTAGGCAGGAATCCCCCGTTGCACACCTTTCCTCACCTCCTTCTTGCAAGTGCCTGTCATACCCAAGACAAATCCCTTGTGCTCTATGCCCTGGGTCCCTCTCCTTTGATCAGACAGCTTGCTCAGTCTAACTATAGCTTCTCACTCCTGTCACGGAGAGCTTTGCATTTGAACATGTTTTAAAGATTCCCTCTTCAAACAAAAATACCTTTCTCAACTCTTTGAACTCCTTGACTACCAAAAATACTGCCCTCACTTGCACTTCCCATTCATTAATTCTCAATCCACGGAAGCAGTAGGTTTTAACCCTGGCTGCACATTAAGACCACCTGGGGAAGATTTTTTAAAATTCTTATTCCCCCAACTGAACCACAGAAAAATCACTTCTGAATGAGGAGGCAGGACAGACTTCATTTCTTTTTAAAGCAATGGTGCAGGTGGGGCTGAGAACCACCATACCAAACCCTGGGCTGCTACACTCCCCACCATTAAAATTGTTTTTGCTGGGTTCACCAGTGATTTCCAGGTGTCAAAACTCAGCCCTTCAGTTGGTCATTATGACATCATCCTGTACAACCACTTCCTTTTTGGAATTCTCCCTGCTCTGACCCTGCTTTCTCCTGATTTTCCCCCTGCTCTGCTTTCTCAGTCTCTACAGGTGGCAGGATCAGTTGGTAGATCAGTCCAACACAGACTGGATGTCCCTGTCCTCCAATATTTCAGCTAACACCCGTGGGTAATGTGCCCCTTTGCCATACCATCCAATGCACTGACTTAAAGCACGGACTTGGAGTGAAGCATTTGCATTCATTAATAATTGTTGTAGACTTACAGGGAAGCATGCTCAAGGTCTCTGCTCCTTTGTTTCTCTTGTCCCACATAGGTAGGAAGATTTCTAATCATATTTGTCAGATTCTAAGATTCATCAGACCCCTATTTACTCTTGGAGTTGCCATTCATGAAAAGCCAGGCTTGAAGTCTGGTCCCTCTTCTGCTTTCTCCTCTCCAGGGTCTTGGACCAGTAAGGAGGCCTGGGTCTACTTTCACGTACAAGGAGGCTTCCCCCATCTAGTGCTCTCAGTTTTTTACTTTCTGCTTCTGGTAAGAGTTTAGTTTGGGCTTAGGGTGTGAGACAGACTCATTTCCTCACTGATTTTGACCTTTGATACCATGTTGGATCTTGGGGTTTCAGGCTCTAACCCTACTAATCATAAAGTGGAACTTGATTTTCTACTTTATTACCATCACGGCATGCTGCCTCTGAGACTATATGTAGGAGTTCCACCCTCACCAGAAGGGATCCTGTGTGTTCCTGGCTTCTTTGAATCACTAGTTTCTGATTCAAAATCTGGGATGAGGGATCTGATTAGTACTCATGTGCCTATCTATCCTAGCTGCAGGAAGTGAGAATGAGGTTATCTGGAATGTGTAGCTTTTGTAGGGGGTGGACGAATTCCTCAAACATAGGAGAGCAGTTCATGCTGGACAGCTGATAAGAATAACAAAGGTCCACTTGGGCCATTCATTGTCCTATTTACTGACTCAGCAAACATGTATTCAGCGCTCAGTAACCCAGTCATCGTCAGGGATCTTTTGGGGTAGGTGGCTGCTATGAAGCAGGATATTCCCAGGGTCCTTAGATATACTCTGCTTGAAGCCAGTCTGACCCTTTCCAGAGCCCCTTATAATGATGAAGATAATAATAATAATGACTAGTTACTGAGTGATTATTCTATGCCAGTTGTCAACAGCATCTCAGTCTTCAACAACTCTAAGGTAGGTGAATTTATGTTAGTTTTAAATGAAATGAAATAATGCTTACAGTTATAGAGTAACTTGCTCAAAGTCACATAGTTAATATTCAAGCCAGCATTCACACTGCAGGTCTTTTTGGTGCATGACTTTCTGTTCCCAGCAACACTCTTTGCTGCCTCTTTTCACAATATAAATGAACGGTTGGTGACCATGTATATGTCAGATAAGCTGTGTGCCACTGGTCCCGGGTCATCGGACACTCTTTTACTCCATTTACCTGTCGCTCCTGGTCAACATGGTCAAAGCAACTGTGAATGGGCTCACCTCATCTCTGTGCCAACATCATTGAAAGAAGATAGACGGTTTCCGTGGCATCTTCTTAAAATGACCTATTTTTATTTTTGGAAGCTACTAGAGCAAAAGTCAATAAAATCTTCGAAACCTGTGGCAGGTATTGTCCTTTGTATGCCAAAGCAAAATGGATTCCTAAGCCGTGAGGACATATACTTTGAATTGTTAATGGTAGTGATGGACTGTTCTGAACATTTTGCTAAGCACCTCATAGACCTGCTAGCAATAAAGCTGTCCTAACAGTTTGGGTCTTAATAAATGTCCTTTCACTCAGTAGATGTGAATAGAACACATTTGATGCCAAGCACCCTGCTTGCTGCTGAATATACAAAGAGGAAAGGCATTCCTGCTGTCAGGATATTCATGGCCTTCTGAGGAAGAGACCAGGAGAGCAAATATTATAATGTAGAATGATAAATTTTGAGATAAGAATACCAAGGTATCTTGGCAGCAAGGAGGAAGGCACCCGAACTCAAACTGGTTAGAGGGAGGCTTTAAAAAATGCTGGACCAAGTCCTGAAAGATGAACAGGAGTTTAGTGAAGAAGAGAATGAAGCCATCCTGCATAAAGAACATGGTTTGTACAGGGCACTGCAAGTATTTTTGTATGGCTGACCGCATACAGAAGCAGGGACAGGTAGGCAGGAGGCCAGTGAAGGACCCTGTGTGAACTGGCTTGCTTGTCGATTTGGAGGGCTGTTCAGTATTCCTCTGCTGTGCAGTCACGGACAGCCTACTACAACTGGCCCATTGTGCAAACAAAGCCGGAACTGAGATGTTCCCAAGTTTCCATCCCCTCAATCACCTCCCTGGAAAATATAACCAGATCATCTGTTTCTGGGAACTCCTGACATGCTTAGGAGCAGATTAATAGTTTGCACCATGGCTGACCGAACCCTTCATGAGTTCTACCATGATACCATTTTGAAGTTACTCCTCTTAAACCACCCTGTCTTGGTAGAATTTAATGCACAGTGTGGTAGTCTTAATTCCTAGTAGCGTTCTTCAGTAGCAATGTTGCTACTCTCACCTATGCATTTGGGGATTTTTTTTTCCTCAGTGGTGACCAGAAATTTGTTTTGATCAACTCACACTTTATATTGGGGAACTCTGCAATCTTTGCAATTTCAAGGCTGAAGAAAGTGTCTGTAGGATAAAATGAGTGCACCTGGCCCATATGAAGCCCATATTAAGCATTGATTTTGGTCTCATTAATACCATGCTATAAGTAAAGTTAGCTGAACTCTTTGAAATGGTGTAGAATGGAACCAATTAAATGGTTTTGGCCAATAGTGGTGATGAATGGCCCTTTTTCTGGTGTTCCACGTTAGTGTGACTTAGGGCCTTCTCTCCACATTCTTTGGAGCTCTTGATTTAAAACCTTTTTTTTTTAATTTTTAATCTTTTAGTTTGAAATTAAGTTTAGACTTACAGGAAAGTTGCAAAAATAGTGCAGGAAGTCGCCATATGCCCTTCTCCCAACTTCTAGTGTTAACTTACATAGCTGGGGTACAATTATTGAAACCAGGAAATTAATATCGACACAATCCAGTTAACTAAACTACATGCTTAGTTGAATGCCATCCATTCTCCCTGTTATGTCCTTTCTCTGGTTAAGAATTCAAGCCAGGATCCATTTGTATTTGGGTCTGTTTCTGAGCTTTTGATTGTGTTCACTGGTCTGCTTGTCTCCTTGTGCAGAGTAGCACGCTCGTTTCAGTAATAGACACTTTATAGTATATTTTAATGTCTGGTAGAACTAGTCTCCTTTCATAATTTTTCTTTTCCAGTGTTTTCCTGGCTATTCTTACATGTTTGTTTTTCCACATAAACTTTAGTATCAACATGTCTAACTGAGATTGCATTACATTTATTAGCTCACTTAGGGAGACCTGACATCTTTACAGTGTTGTATTATACAAATATCCAAATTATCCAAGAACAGGGGATGTATTTCCATTTGTTCACATCTATTTTTGTGCCTTTTCAGGACTTTTAAAGTTTTCCTTGGATAGGTATTATGTATTTCTTATTAAGTTTATCCCCTTGTATTCAATGCTTTCTTGCTACTAATGGGATTTTCTCTGCCATGATGTCTTCTACTTGGTTATTGTTGTTATATATGGTTTTTGATATTTGTATTCTAATTTTACATCCTGTTGCCTTTCTGAATTCTTTTACTTTTTGAGTGAGTTTTTATCATTGATCCTCAAGGGTCCAAAAAAAAAAAATCTTTCTAAATGTACCAAGTAGTGGCAAGAAATGAATCTATCGAAGTCAAAAGTGCTTTGAAAGCTTAACTTTGGGTGACAAGTGAGATGAAAGCCACCTTTCACTCTGAAAGTGTCTCTGGAGACCTAGTCCCTGGAGTCTCTGTTGTGGTGAGTGTGATGGGTGCAGGAGGTCAGGCAGGGCCTATTCAAAGCAGAGGGTTTAGCCTGAGGTCTCTGACAAAGCAGGGACCCTCCAAGTGCTACACTCACAGTGTAAGCATCAATACTAAGGAAACCTACCAAGCAGAAATAACATGAAGAAAGCATGCCTTTCTTGACATTGGCCTCGGTGGAGGAAAGGTTTGTTTTTTGTTTGTTTGTTTTACCTTAAAACGTTTAACAAGTTGTCCCTTATAGAAGTTTATGGCCTAAGTTTATTCTACTGATGTGTTCCAAAATACTGCAAATAGGAATTTCTTTTACGCAGGTTACTACCTGCATCAGTAGTAACCTCAGATGACTAGCAAACACAGAGCCTCTCAGAAGGAACAAAACTTCAGTCAAGGTGTCCAAGAACTACCATAGATAAAGTTGTAAAGAATATGGGTAGTTCACAGTTAAAAATCACAAACCAGGGTCACCTGGGTAGCTCAGGAAGTTAAGCTTCCAACTTCAGGTCAAGTCACAACCTCACAGTTTGTGAGTTCGAACCCCGCATCGGGCTCTGTGTTGACAGCTCAGAACCTAGAGTCTGCTTTAGATTCTGTGTCTTTCTCTCTGCCTCTCCTCCACTCATACTCTGTCTCTGTTTCTGTCTCTCAAAAATTAAAAAAATTAAAATAAAAAAAATAAAGGAGGTTTGGGGCACCTGGGTGGCTCAGTCGGTGGAGCATGTGACTCTCGATCTCATGGTTGTGGGTTCAAGCCTCATGTTGGGTAAGGAGATTACTTAAAATCTTTTTTTTAAAAAAATGTAGGAGGTCCTATAGAAAAATAGGGAAGAGATATGAACAGTTTACAGGAAAAAATGCAAATGTCCCTTAAGCATGTGAAAAGATCAACTTAATTATTTGATTTTCACAACAACCTAATGAGGTAGATATTCTTATCATCCCCATTTTTCAGAGAAGGAAACTGAGTTAAAAAGAGGTGAAATATTCTACCTGAACTCAAATACTAATCAGTTATGGTTCTAGGATTTGAATGCAATCAGACTGGCTCCAGATCAGAGCTATTCACCATGACTAAGTGTGGCTTGTTTCAGGAACACAGGGATCATTTAATGTTAGGACTAGTTGGATGTTTCTTTAATTTGATAAAATCTATTTATCTCAATCCAAAGCCAGCACCATGCCTAATTGAGAATTAGAGAAATGATTTCATTAAAGTCAGAGACAAGACAGAGATGTCCACTAATCATCACCATTGTTTAAAATTGTTCTTCAGGCCTTAGACAAAACAATTAGACAAGAAAAAGAAAGGTGTAGAATAAAATTATAATTTGCTGATGTGATTGGATTGTCAACCTAGAAACTAAAAAGGAGTAACCAAAAACTTAGAAACGAAACAAGAATTTAATAAGTTAGACCGGTACAAAAGTAATTTTCAGAATCAACAGCCTTTGTATACACAATGTCTGATTACATGCTATAAGGAAAGAAAAGACCCACTTTATAATAGCAGGAGAAAACATAAGATATAAAATACTTGAGGAGAAACTCAAGGTTTAGAAAGGTTCTAAAATGCTAATGAGGGACCCAAAACAAGACTTGAACAAATGGAAAGAAATTCCATGTTCTTGCACAAGAACAATGAGCATTGTAATGATGTCACTCTCAATCTATAAATTTGATGTGGTATTCAATACAAGTATCAGATTAAAAACAATTTTAATGTTTATTTGAGAGAGACAATGCAAGCAGGAGAGGGGCAGAGAGAGAGGGAAACACAGGATCTGATGCAGACTCCAAGCTGTCAGCACAGAGCCCAACATGGGGCTTGAACCGGCAAACCATGAGATCATGACCTGAGCTGAACACTTAACTGACTGAGCCACCCTGACACCCTGTTTATCAATCAGATTTTTTAAAAAGATTGACACTGATTCTGAAGTTGATTTGGAAAAGCAAGCAAGAATACACAAGAAAGGGATGGTAATAGGAGATTAACTCTATAGATGTTTCAAATTTATAAAATCCATAGCAATTAAAACAGTGTGGTAATAATTTGTGAATAGCCAGATCAATAGAATAGAATAGTTCAGAAACAGATCTAAATACATATGGGAAACAAGTGTATGATAAAGGTGGCTGTTCAGTCAGTGGGGAAAAGGTTATTAAGGAAAGGGAGATCACTGGGTAGTGTTCTGGAAATAAATTGGGTTGGGTCCACACTTCATTCCTTATGTCAGGATGACTTGCAGACACATGTAAAAAATAAGATTCTAAATGTACTAGGAAGAAAAAAAAATTTTCTTATGACTTGAGAGTGGGGGGAGGCCTTTCTGAGTCTGCCACAAAGCCCAAAAGCCTTAAAAGAAATGGTTGCTAGGTGAGATTTCCTAAAAATGAAGACTCTCTTCATGACAGTAGCATCATAAGCAAATGCAAATGAGAACGTGGGTGAGATATGTGTAACTCCACCAAGATAAGGGCCAATTTATCTAATTTTATAAAAGGAGCCCCTCAAATTAAAAAAATGGGTCAGCAATCCAGTATAAAAACTGTCAAAAGAAATGAACAGACATTTCATAGAAGAAAAAATACAAATGACTCCTAAGCATATGAAATATGCTAAATCTCACTTATAATAAAATAGATTTTCGCCTATCAAAAATAATAGTTTGATAACACACTATAATGGCAAGCATGTAGTTAAATAGGC